TCCCTTTTTACCCTACTGGAGAAGTTTTTGGATGTGCATAGGGATTTGAGTCTTAGAAGATCCCATTCATCTATGTTATCTTCTCCTGGTTGTAGGTTTTGGCAATTGCTTTTCAAATACACGTTTCCTTATTGAATCCTTGCTGGCGTTCTAACAGGGTGCGTAACCTGACAGGCCCAGGAAATAGATGTACTAGTGCCAAGGAGTTGGCCAGGCTACTGAAAACCAGTTAAGGGCAGCCAGCTCACAAAGCATCAACAGGTCAATGGGAATGACAATGCATTCATTTGTACAGCAGGAAGTAATTTTATGATCTTACTTAAAGGGATCTTGAAAGATGAAGGAATCATTTTAAAAAAGGGTAAAAAAAGAGTTTTGCTAAGTATGATATCAAAGTTAAAGAATGTGGACAGATTTGAGGATATACATCTTTGCTCTGAATAAAAGTCCCAGCTGAGATCCCACCGCTCTGGAGACTGGCCTGTACCTGCAGGCAGAGCTGTCACTGCTCCTTGACACCAGATGTTTCCTCTTCTTCTTCCTGGCAGCCAGGCTACCTTCGATTGGCTACACATTCTTTCTTTGTTATGCTGATGGCCTCAATTATGCCATAGCTAAATTCTACTAGCTCCCCAGTTTGGACAAAAAAATTACTTTGCTTTTGATCAGTTTTATCTCAGTCGTTATAGGTGATTCTCAAATGTCAGTGAGTAGAACTATCGGGAGATTCCTGAGTACCCAATCCACAGACAATCTAATTTCACATGTCAAGGGTAAGACCCAACACCTACATTTTCATTTAATAATCACCAGAAATTCTAATACAGTTGATCTAGAAAGTTGCATCTACGTTTGACTCTTAGGGTAGGATTTGGAGACTGCTCCATGTCCTTAGCTCTGCTTGTTAAGGACACAGAAAAAAGTTAAAAGTTAGGGGAGCTCTGGTGGCCTAGTGGCAAGGAGCTGCAACTACAATCCAAGAGGCGCACGGTTCGAATGCACCAGATGCTCTGCCGGGGAAGGAGGGACAATCTCCTCCTGTACCAGTCAGATCTGATATGACGGTACACTCACATAAAAATTAAAAAAAAAAAAGTTAAAAGTTACTAATAGAAGAAGAAAATGTTTTGTGTGGTTAACTGCCTCTATGAACTGCAGTCTCCTCTGCTATGAAACCAGAGGAACTAGATGGCACCCAGCTACCATTATGGAAAGCTCCAATCAAAGATTCTGTAGAACTCTTATAAAAGGGGACAAGAGTATTATCCTATAATAAAACTTCAGCTTCTAATGGAAAAAAAAAAAAAAAAGGGGACAAGAGGAATACAAAATAGAATCTTAAATTCTTTTGGAATTGAGACTTTCTGGATCCATGGAAGCCAAAGTAACCCCTAACGCCAGTTCCCTGTGATAATCTTTAAAATGTAAACAAAAAATATCCCCTGAAATCTTCAGACTAAAAAATAGAGGAGAATGAATGTCGTTGCATTATGATGTTGAAGAAGAATATTGAATATATCATGGTCTTCCAAGAGAACAAACAAACGTGTCTTGGATAAAGAGCAGCAAGATGGCTTCTTGGAAGTGAGGAAGGTAAGAATTGGTCTCACGATCTTTGAGTGTGTTCTCAGGGGTGGCTAGTCCCTGGAGGAAGGTATCAGGCCGGGGAATGGAGAAGGTCCAAAAAAATAAGAAAGAGGAAGACCCTCAACAAAATGGACCAACACAGCTCCTGCAACAAGAAGCCCAAGCAGTGACTGAGGATGCTGCAGGCATAATGTCAATGTGTTGTACACTGGGATACTATGAGTCAGACCGACCCTACCTGATGATGTCTAACAACAACAACAAAGTAAAGAATGTTTCCCTTGAGTACTGCGCTCTTTTAAGGTCTATCTATATGGGATCAAACTTACAACATCAACTTTTTTAGAACAGATGGAAAATTTAGGGGGCAGGGAGTGTATGTCACTGAAGGAGGTACAACTTGGAAAAGGAAAGTGAGAATGGTTGTACAACTCAGAGCAGCATATAATAATCGATCGCTGAATTGTCCAAGTAGAAATTATCAAATTGATCTATGTTCTGCTGTATATTCTAAACAAAAATAAACATCTTTTAAGAGGGAGGGATATAGAACAGATTTTCAAATTATTGTGAAACTTAGCATTTCTGGCACCATGGATGTAAGTAAGATGAATGCCTCTCCTAATCTTCTGCTCTAAAAGAATCTTTAAACCTTAAAAAAATGCCTTCAGTTTACTTTAAAGCAAACAATGCTGTTGTTGGATATCAGGAGTTCCTACTTAGAGTGGCCCCGTGTCTGTGATAATGAAACACTGCTGGATCCACTGTCCTCCCCAGAATCCCTGTAGTGTTTGAGGCCACTGTTGCCTCTGCTATGCCCATCCATTTGTTGAGCAGCGAATCTTCTTCACTGACCCTCTGCTTTACCAAATATGGTGTCTTTTCCCAGGGACTAGCCTCTCCTGGTAACATGCCCAAAGTGTTTGAATTAGTAAAGAATGTGTCTTTAGCATTGCTGTCTTTGAAGAACGGCTGCAGTTGTTGTTAGGTGCAGTAGAGTTGAGTGTGATTGAGAGTGACCCTATGAACAACATGTCTGAACCCTGTACTGTCCTGCACCATCCTCATCATTTCTGACATACTTAAGTCCACTGCCGTAGTCACTGTGCCAGCCCCTCTCACTTCAACCCTCTCTTTCAACCCTCCACCTTTCCAAGCATGACATTTCTCTCCAAGGAACAGTCTCTATAATAACATGCCCTAAGTAAGTGAGATGAAACTTTGTCATCTTTGCCTCCAAGGAACATTCTGGCTGTCCATTCGCCAAGACATATCTGTTTGTTCACGGGATGTACAGTGCTCTTCTCCAACACCTCAGCTCAAAGGCATCAATTCATCTTCTGTCATCCTTTGCACTGTCCAGCTCGCAGATACACAGTATAGGACTGAAAAGGTCATGGCCTAACACAGGCACACTTTACCATTTTCCCTTGCTTTTTTTTCAGACAACAGCATCTTGGTCTAGGTATAGGTTTCAGATGAGCACAACTAAGTGTTCTGGGATTGCCATTCTTCTCAGTGTTAACCATAATTTGTTGTGATCCACACAGTCAAATGCCTTTGCATAGTCAATAAAACACAAATAGACATTCTTCTTGTATTTTTTTACTTTCAACCAGGATTCATCTGACATCAGCAATGGTACCCTAGTACCATGGCCTCTTCTAAACCAGCTTCAACTTCTGGCACTTCTAGGAGGATCTTCAGCAATATTCTGCTTGCATTTGATATGAATGATACTTTTTTATAATTTCCACATTCTGCTGTACCAACTTTCTTGAGAATCTGAGTAAGTTTAACTTTTTAAAGAACTACATGGAGTCAAATCCACAAGAGCAATTTACATGCTTAGACAGAACTCTTAAAGGGCACTGAGTTCATGTTAATGAGGAAGCAACAATTTGGAAATGGAAGGGGAGGATGGTGACACAACTTGAAGAATGAAATCGATGTTACTAAACTGTACCTATAGAAATTGTCGAACTGATATACGTTCCTCTGTACATATTCTCAACAGCACGGAAAAAATAAAACAGATTTAAAGATGTCAACTATACAGTCATTCCTTGTAAGTGCAGTAAAATGAGTGACATTGCAGGGCTCACGAGAAGACTAAGCATCTTCTGTCACTGATTTGTGTGTGGTTCCAGTCGAGCTACTTATCCCTCAAATGTAAAATGGGACAATGTTACTGCACATGACTCAATCAGTGCTCCTTAGAGGCAAGGATGATGAAACTCTGTCTCATATAGTTTGGGCATGTTATCGGGAAGAACTGGTCCTTGGAAAAAGGTGGAGGGTGGGACAAAGTGAGGAAGATCTCAGCTTTGATGGACTGACACGGTGACTGTAATGATGAATTTGAGTATATTAGAAATGGTGAGGTTGGTGCAGGGTAGGACATGGTGCATGAGGACAAGGTTCAGATCTATTGTTCACAGGGCTGCTATGACTCTTAACAGTAACACCAACAACAGGACTATACAACAATAGGACTGCACAGGTTAAACAGCTTCACGATCCTGACCCAGGAATTAACAGTTTAAAATGTTCAATGTATGTTAAATTATAATTAAAATTATTCAAGCAGAAAGAAGCTGAAATTTTAGGCAGTTGTGGGAGTACTGTGCTCAGTGCAGAAGGCAAAGTTTGAGCCAGGTTTCAAAGGACAAGAAGCAACCTCTATTAAAAATAAACAAATACATTTTTTAAAAAATATTTTTTAAATCACCCATCTTCTGCAAATCAGTCTGCACTAGATTTTAGGCTAAGAGGTCTTTTCTCTCAGAGGTCACCACCAAAGAGGTCACCACAAAAGGCCCTTCCAAAAAAAAGGCCCTTCCCTAATGAGGATCCTAACACTAGAATTTACCCAGGAACGGACTCCAACATTCACAAAATCCATTGTCGCAGGTATACGTACACGTGTGCAACCTTTCTACAAGATGGACTGAACTTTATTCTACGTGAACAAGAGAGAAGATTTTGATTTCCAGGAGCAAAACAAGGAAATGGACATATTTTGCTCAGGAGAAACATTATATATAATTTTTACTAAATAACTGAGAACAGAGAAGCTATTTTATAATATATCTTTTCAAGCTAAAAGTTATACTGAAAGGAAGTATGATCAATATTGAGACGTTTTGATTTTTCCAGATTTTTACCTACCCTAGGTAGCTAAAAGGATTCACGTTTTAGGCCACAAGTTTAAACATTTTAAAAATCCTTACCTGCCAGCTGTTTTCTACAGAAATTCCTCTTTGTACTCGGATGATGTATTCCTAGAAAAATAACAGAAAATGAACCTTAGTTATAAGATCTTTAAATCATAAAATTTTAAAAATATGCAAAATGTCTGGAAAAAAAATACATTTCTGAATAAATAAAATTACAAGATATAGAGAGGGCTATATGCATAAAAGTAAGAAGGTCACTCTCTCCTGCCACCACTACTGAGTCAATTATGATTCACAATTGACCCTCTTTGTATTTTAAGGCTGTAAATCTTTGCAGAAGAAAAGTGCCAGTCTTCCTCCTGTGGAGCAGCTTACGGATTCAAACTGGAACCTATCAGTTAGCAGCGCACTACAACAACCCTTCATGACCAGGGGTATTAGGCATAGCAACCCTAAGTAATACACACACCAAGCAATAGAACTGCAAAACATTAAGCAGCAAAAACTAACAGAATTGAAAGAAGACATCAAAAATAATAATGACTTCAACATCTGTCTCAACAACGGATACAACCATTAGACAAAAGCTTAGAAAGGACATGAGAATGCAATATCATCAACCAGGAAAATCTAGTTGGCATTTCTAGAACACTCTAACAAAAAGCACAATACATATTCTTTTAAAGCACCCAGCAGACGTATACCAATAAAGACCATGCACTGAGTCCTAAGATAAACCTTTAAAGATAGAGAAGATGTGAAACCTCTGAACATAGCAGATTCTACTAGCAATCAGTAAAAAAAGATAATCAGAAAATTTCCAAAGAGTTGGAAATAATATACCATTAAATAATCCATAGATCAAAGAGGAAGTTTTAAGAGAAATTTAAAAACACATTTAACTAAACAGAAATGAAATACAAATAATTGAACTGACAAATGTTTTTTTTTGTTAGATGCATCTATTAACCACAGTTTTTTAAATTTAAGTATTTTTTAAACTTAGATACATTGACAAACATACAACATTAACAATTTATTTGGCACATCTAAAGCAGTGTTACAAGGGGAACTTATAGCAGTAAATGGTTACATTGTTGTTGTTGTTGTTGTTAAGTGCCCTCAAGTAGCAGGCGACACATAGCAACCCTATGAAGGAGAGTCCTCGATGCTTGGGTGCCTTTCATCCTCTCTCCAGGTTCATAGGGTTTCCAGAGGCAAGCTATTACGGAAGTGGATGCCACTCCTCCTTCCAAGCTAATGGTTACATTAGAAAAATATTTTAGACTAGCCATTTGAGCATCCAAGAACCTAAAAAAGCCTTATAGAACACATTAATTAAGTCAAAGGAAGGAAATTTTAAAAATAAGAGCTGGAATCAATAAAATGAAAGAAATAAATGAGGCAAAAATCAATAAAATGGATAAACTGCTAGCAAAATTGACTAAGAAAAAGAAAATAGATAAATTACTAATAACAGGACAAAATAAATAAATAAAGAACCAAAACCACAGTTACCAGAAAGACAGCAAGAGAATATAAAACTGACAAGTAAGATGAAATAGGCCAATTCCTAAAAAACTATAAACTCCAATTTATCCATATTAATTAGATAACTTTAATATCCCTACAACTAACTATTACGGAAATTTCATTCATAATTTAAAATCTTCCCAGAAATAAATCTCTACACCATATGGTATTACTGCAGAACTCTATAAAATAAAGAATTAGCAGCAATTCAACACAAACTCTTCTAGAAATCTAAATAGGACATTTTGCAAATTACATACTAAAGACTGCAGACCAGATGAGTTGTGGGATGAATGAAGGATATCATAAATTAAGAAAATAAAAGGCCATTAAGAACACAGAAGGAAAAAAGAAAAGACCAAAATGGAAGTCAGAAGAAACTCTGAAACTTCTCTAGAACATAAAAAACCTAAAAGAGTGCTCGCTTCGGCAGCACATATACTAAAAAAAATAATTGGAACGATACAGAGAAGATTAGCATGGCCCCTGCGCAAGGATGACACACAAATTCGTGAAGCGTTCCATATTAAAAAAAAAAAAGAAAAAACCTAAAAGAAAAGGGAGAAATGACCAAGTAAGAAAGCTGAATAGATTTCAAAAGGCAGCTAGAGAAGACAGAGTAAAGCATTAAGATGAAATGTGCAAAGACTTAGTTAGAAAACCAAAAGTTTTTCCAAGAACTGAAGGAAAAAGCCTCAAGCTGTAAGAATGAAGAATTTGATGAGCAAAATATTGAATGAAGCAAGAAGCATCAAAAAAAGAGGAAAGGAGGGGGAGAAAAAGAGGAAAGGAATTCTCTGACTCATTGTGCTAGAAAGTATTGGGCAACATTCAACCTTTTCAGGAGGTCGCTTACAGTCAAGGGAGGATTTAAGGAAGAAGTCCAAGTTACATGGAAGGCACTGACAAAAACAAAGCTCTAAGAACTGACAGACTACCAATCGAGATCCTTCAACGAATGAATGAAGCAATGGATGGACTCACTCATCTATACCAAGAAATTTAAAAGACAAGCTACCTGGCCCATTGCCTACAAGAAATCCATGTATGTGTGTAAGAAATAGGATCCAACAGAATGCAGAAAGTAAATGACAGTATCATTAATACCACATGCAAGCGAAATACGACTGATGATAATTTCAAAACGGCTGGAGCAGTATATCAACATGGAAGCACTAGAAATTCAAGTCGGACTTAGAAAAGGACATGGAACTGGGGAGATCAGTGCTGATGTATAATAGATCTTGAATGAAAGCAAAAAAGACCAGAAAGTTGTTTACCTGTGTATTTCTGATCATGCTTTTGGCTGTATGAATCATAACAAAGTCTGGCTAATAAAATGAGAAATGGAATTCCAGAATAGTTAATTATGCTAATGCAGAATCTGTACAAAGACCAAGGGGAAGTTATTTGAAAAGAGCAGGGGTTACCATATGATTTAAAATCAAGAAAGGTGTACGTCAGGGTTGTACCCTTACTCAGTCTAGGTACTGAGCAAATAATTTGAAGCGTGTAATTCTTGAAGAATGTAGCATCAGGATTGAAGGAAGAATCAATTAACAACCTATGATACGTAGTTGACAAAATTTTTGCTAAGAAAAGCAGGGAAGACTTTAAACATAGAAAAGATCAAAAACTATATAGCCTTCGGTATGGATTACACCGCAACAAAAACAAAAAACAGAAAACCTCTCAACTAGATCAATAACCAATGACATAGAAAATGAAAAAAAATTTAAGTTGTAAGGGATTTCACTTTACTTTGATTCATAATCAATGCCCATGATAGTGGCAGTCAAGAAATCTAACAACATATTCAACTGGGCGAACCTGCTACAAGGGAGCTCTTTAATGTTAGAAAGAACCAAAATGTTTCTTTGATGACTAAGCTGCACTTGACCCAAATCCCTGTATTTTCAATCATCTCATATGCTTGCAAAAACTGGACAATGAATAAAGAAGATTAAAGAACAATTTATTCCTTTAAATCATAGCACTGGTGAAGAATATTGGATATACTATGGACTGCCAGAAAAAGGAACAAATTTCTCTTGGATGAAGAGCAGAGAGAATGCACTATAGAAGAGAAGATGATGAGACTTCATTTCACAGACTTTGGACACGAAGGAGGAACCAGAAAAGGAAGGGCATCATAATTGGTAAATTAAAGCGTCAGAGAAAAAGAAAACCTTCAACAAAACAAACACAGTACCAAGAGTAATACTGTCAGGAATAGCAACAACTGTGAGCCTAGTGCAGACCAGAGGAGTGTTCCACTCTGTTGTACATAGGACCACTGTGAGTACAAACCACCTCGACAGCAGCTAATAATAACAATGCAAATGAGGTGTGTGTTGCTCACTAAGGTTAGACAGCATTGCTAATAATGCTAATAAGGTCCGTGGAACTCAACATGGGGGAACCTGAAGGACATTATGCTGAGTGAAATACCTCAGTAATCAAAGGACAAATACTGCATAACACCGCTGTAATGAAATAGGACGAATATGGAGGGGTGGGGCGAGAATAGGAAAAGAGTGGATAGATAATGAACAGTGCATTAGAACAAACGAGGGAAAGAACTGTCCAAAAGGAATATATAATTATGCATTATATGTATGACAACAATCTGAAACAAGGGGTGCACTACAGAGTGGGTTGGGAGAGGAAGGGAGAAGAAAATGTTCAACAATTAAAATAAAAAGGTGGGTTTTTTTAAAATTTTTTTTTTTTATTATTTTTGTGTGAGTGTACCGTCAAATCAGATCTGACTGGTACAGGAGGAGA